AGACTGTTTTTCATTAAAACTCTCTGCGAATTATGTATGACTAGAAGGAAACTCCCTCAATCTGATTTTTTAAATCTATGAAGGCCAGGTTTAGTGGCTCCACACCTGTAATCCCAACACTTTGGAAGGCCAAGGCAGGTGGATTGCTTGAGCCCAGCAATTCGTGACCAGCCTAGACAACAGGGTAAAACCCCATCTGTACAAAAAATACAAAAATTAGCCAGGTTTGGTAGTGTGTGCCTGTAGCCAGCTACTCAGGAGGCTAATGTGGGAGGATCTTTTGACCCTGACAGGGTGAGGCTGCTACAAGCCATGACTGTGCCACTGCACTCCAGCCTGGGTGACAGGGCAAGACCCTGGCTCAAGAAAAAAAACTATAAAAAACCTACCACTAAGATCATCCTTAATTATGAAGTACTGAATGCTTCTCCCCTAAAATCAGAGACAAAGCAAGGATGTCCACTCTAATCCTTTGTATTCAACATATTCTAGCAAGTGAAAAAAAAACACAAGAAAAACAAACACATCCAGATATCCAGTAAAACTGTCTTCATTCATAGATGACATGAGTATCTATGTAAAGAAACTAAGGAGTCTATTAAAAAACTACCAGAACTAAGATGTAAATTTAGCAATGTGGCAGGATATAAGATCAATATACAAAAATCAATGGAATATTATGAATGCTAGAAACAAAAATTTAGAAAGGGAAATTTTATTAAAGTGCTGTTTATAATTGCATACAGATAAAATAGAGATTGATGAAAAACTTTTTAAAGATCTGTATATATTCTAAAAACAGTGAAACACTGCTGAGAGAAACTCAAGAAGACCTAAAAAAATGGGAAAAAAATAGATTGTGTTCAAGACTGGAACACTCAATTTTGTTAAGCTATCAATTCCCCTTAAATTGATTTATAGATTCAACCCAATCCAAATAAAAATCTGAGCAGGATTTTTTTTTTGAAACATTGAAAATTTGATCTCTAAAACTCACATGAAAATGCAAAGGAACTAGAATAGCCAAACAACTTTTAAAATGAAGACCAAAGTTAGAGGACTAACAGGACCTAACCTCAAAACCTATAAAGCTACAGTCATCAAGACAACTGTACAAGCATAGAAATGCAGCAATAGTACACTATGTGACAGTGCTGTGAATATTATTTCTGTGCTCATGATATTGTAAGTAAGTGTTAGAGGATGTAAAAATGGAAGTTTTGGATGAGGTTCCAGACTGTTTTGTTTTGTTTTGTTGTTTTGTTTTTTTTAACAGATGTGCAGAAGACAATTTATGCAGGATTTGAAAACAAATTAAAACAGAAGAGATGAGGGAAACTAGTTTTATGACTTTTAATCCCAGCCTACATCTATGGCATAAATAGGTCAGAAGATGGAGATTAAAAAGGATTTTTAGAAAAATGTTTGGAGAGAGTGTGAAGGGGCAGGATGTGTTGTGATCTTTCCATTTCATGCCAAATCAAGAGAGAAAGCCTTTTAAATGAGTCCTCAGCGAGCTTAAGATACATTCTCTGGGGACTTAAGAACAGAAAGGGTAGATAGGGAAAGAGAAAAAGCCAAATACAACCTCTTCCCTGACACCAGTGTTCCCATTGCAACAGGCCAGAGCTTGGGGAGGAGTGAAAGCCAAGCATTAAATCAAGATTATAGCTTAGACTATGACCTGGGTCTTAGCATTCTGACTACTGCACAAGCCTGCACTTACACACTCAAGTGACTGGAGAACTATGTGACCCAAGAGTAGTCAGAAAAGTCATGGAGCCTGCTAATATTTTCATCCGTAAGTAGGCAATTTAAAATAACAGCAGGGAAAAAAGGGGAGGAGGGCATTATAAGAGTCGCATATGGTGGAAGTGGTTACACAATGAATATTTAACAAAAATATTGATTATAAGTAAATTGGAAGGGTGAAGGGAGGGAGAAGTATATGGAAGACCAAGGATTAGGAAGCTAAGCCCTTACTTTCCATATCAGGAAATCAATACATTTATCCAAAACTGAAAAATCAAGAAATAGTAAAAAACAAGCATCATGAAGTTAAGTACCAAATAAATATATAGAAGAGTTGAAAGTGTTTCCTCTGAGAGCAGAAACTAAGCACTGGGAGAGGAGCTGAGGGGGAAACTGCCATTTCTCACCAAAAAAAGCTTATATTTTAAACTATATACACATATACTCTAATATTTCTTAGTTTTAATAACAAAAAAATTCATGGGTCCTGCCCATGTTATCATACAGAGATAGAGGTAACTACATTTGCCTTTTAAAAACCACATACACATATTACTATTTTCTTTTTAAACTACATACACTTATTACTCTGACAATTTTTGTTTTTAAATGAAAAAAAAAAAAACCTTTAAGGATAGCAATAGGGTTGGAAGAAACTTCAGACTGTGCAGCTTATATGAGCAATGTCTGTTTGAAAGAGCAACTGGACATCCATAGGCAAAATAAATTAATCTCAACTTAAGTCTCACATTTATACAAAAATTAACTCAAAGTGGATCATGAACTTAAGAAAAAACACAGGAGAGGCCAGGCACAGTAGCTCATGCCTGTAATCCCAGCACTTTGGGAGGCCAAGGCAGTCAGATCATTTGAGGTCAGGAGTTCGAGACCAGCCTGGCCAAAATGGAGAAACTATCTCTATTAAAAATACAAAAATTAGCCAGGTGTTGTGGTATGCACCTATAGTCCCAGCTACTCAGGAGACTGAAGCAGAAGAATCACTTGAACCCAGGAGGCGAAGGTTGCAGTGAGCCAAGATTGTACCACTCTACTCCAGCCTGGGCTATAGAAAGAGAGTCTGTCATAAGTGAATGAATGAATGAAAATCTTTAGGATTTAGGGCTAGGCAAAGAATTCCTAGACCTCACACAATCTATTAAAGTAAAAATGAATACATTGGACTCCTTAAGAATTAAAAATTTTGATCTGTGAAAGACCTTGTTAAGAGGATAAAAAGGTAAGCTACAGAGAGAATATATTTACAAATCACATATATGTGAAAGAACTTGTATTTATAATAAATCAAGAATTCTTAAGACTCAATGGTAAAAACCTAAACAATCCAATTAGAAAATGGACAAAAGACATGAAGAAACATTTCACCAAAGAGGATACACAGATGGCAAATAAACACATGAAAAGATATTCAACAGCATTAGTCAGTAAGGAAATGCAAATTAAACCCACGGTAAGATTCACTACACACCTATCAAAGTGGCTAAAATAAAAAATAGTGACACCACCAAATGCTGGCAGGGATGTGCAGAACCTGAATCACTAGTACATGCTGGTGGGAATGTGAAACAGTAGCACAACTCTGAAAGATAGTTTGGGAGTTTCTTTCCATTTACAAAAATAAATCCTTATGATAAAGATCTAAATATTAAGAAAGGATTATTCAAAGTAGAAAACTGTAAAAAAATAACTTTGGGGATAGGGAGACTTTTCACAACAGGGCACAAAATGTAAAAGTTGTAAGCAAAAGATAGATACATTTGACCATATCAAAATAAAAGCTTCTGTATACTCAAAGCAAAACTAAACAAAACAAACAATAGCAAAAGCAACAAAGAAACAACGCACTCCATAAGCAAAGTTTAAAGATAACTGACCAACTAGGAAAAAAATTATTAATATTCTCATATGGAAAGAACTCCTAGAAAACAATAAGACAAAGCAAACTACCCCCCAAAAAACCACAAATAAATGACATAAACAGACAAGTCTGACACAAGGAAATACAAATTAAAATAAAGAAAAGAAAGTTCACCCTTACTAAGAATCATGGAAATGCAAATTAAGACTGGATACCATTTTTTCTCATGAGTGCTTGGCAGAAATGGAAGTCTACTGGCACGGGTGTGGGTAAGCAGGTGTTCTTACTTTAATAATAATGTAGCCAGCACAGTGGATAAAGGACAGTTACTGTAGCAACTAACTGGAAACAACTTTAATGTCCACCAAGAGGGAAATGGTATAATGGAAAACTATAAAGCTATTAAAAACAGTGGGATAGATCTATATGCATGATATGGAAATAACTCCAAGAAATTGATACATTTTTAAAAAACAAACTGCAAAACAATATGCCTAGTATGATCTTGCATTTAAAAAACAGAAAAAAGGCTAGATACAGTGGCTCATGCCTGTAATCCCAGCACTTCAGAAGGCCGATGTGGAAGGATTGCTTGAGCCCAGGAGTTGCAGAGAAGCTTGGGCAACAAAGTGACAGCTTGTCCCTACAAATAATGAAAAAATTAGCCTGGCATGGTCACATACACCTGTAGTTCCAGCTACAGGGGAGGCTGAGGCAGGAGGACTGCTTGAGCCCAGGAGGTCAAGGCTGCACTGAGCCATGTTCGTGCCATTGCACTACAGCCTGGGTGACAGAGCAAGGCCTTGTCTCAAAAAAGAAAAAAAAGAAAAAGCAGAAAAAAATCTAAAATGCTGTGTTTATATGTATATCTATGTATATTAATAGATATGATAATAGTTATGCCAAATTTTTAACAGTGGCTACATCTAGGAAGGGAACTGGGATGGAGTGGGTGATCACAAGAGATTATAGAATGACTTATACCATTAAATTTTTTTGTTTATTTTACTAAAAAACATATTTGTGTCACTTGTTTAATTAAAAAAATGATGTAGCACTTAATACAGTATCTAGTATAAAGCAATTGCTCAAAAATGCTAACTTCAACTTAAAGAAAATATTTTCAAAGTAAAAATTAAATATAAAGGATGATGTAGCAATAATACTTCTATGGCCTGGTTCTAAATGCCACATTATACAAGTGATAGAATTCCCCAGGGAACAGAAAAAGGGGGTACTTTTAGGGGGAAAGGGGATTTACCAAACTACCAAAGAAAGATATCCAGGGTGTGTGTGTATTCACTGACCCAGGAACAAGCAGTAAATTAGTGTTTCTAGAAGTGCTTTACTAAAGGCACACTTAGTAACTTACCTGTCGTCTTTGCTACAGAGGTGGTAGAAACACCGTTGAACTCACTAGAACTCCTTTTCACGGGCCTTGGCTTGTATTCTCGTCTGGGGACACTGGATGCAGCTGATATTCTGTAACACACATCATAAGATGAGCCAGACATCTAATCTTGAAAGCTTTCCAAATACACCTTCTCTCTGTCTTGATGAGCATAGGAACTTAGGTTACAGCTAGTGGTCATGAAGGGGACAATTTTTATGCACTGACTCTTGAGTAGCCCAAAGTTATGGAGGTGTTATCACAAATATAGTTTGTCAACTCTCTATTTGAGCTTGTGAGTGAAATTCATCTTGAAGAAGACTAATTGAGCCAGGCATGGTGGCTCATTCCTGTAATCCCAGCACTCCAGGAAGCTAAGGTGAGCAGATCACCTGAGGTCAGGAGTTTTGACACCAACCTGGCCAACATGGTGAAACTTCATCTCTACTAAAAATACAAAAATTAGCTGGGTATGGTGGCAGGCGCCTGTAACCCCAGCTACTTGGGAGGCTGAGGCAGGAGAATCACTTGAACCTGGGAGATGGAGGTTGCAGTGAGCCGAGATTACACTACTGCACTCCAGCCTGATCAACAGAGTGAGACTGCATCTAAAAAAAAAAAAAAAAAAAAAAATGACTGTCTTCATCAAGTCTCTGAGGCATCTGGCAAGTGCCTGGGATATGGTCACCAACCAGTGATGGATGAGAGCTGCCTTTTCCCTCACTCTGCTCTTATAGATTACGATAGAATGATGAAAATACACTCCTGTGAGTAACAGGTGAACTGTCTGCCTGCAGAAGTGGACGCTTCAGGATCTGAACACACCTTTGTCTTCCCTATGTAACTATATCATTGATTTAAGTAAAAATTCCTCCAAATTTATGCAATACCATAATCATGTATAAAACAATTTTCTGTTATCAAACCTGGTTAAAAAAATAGGGTATTTTTAACCCAATATTTTAATAAATAGAGTTGCCATGCATACTATATATGATATTACTAATTTTCAGAAAAGTACAGACTACATCTATGATTAAAGTCACAAGGAACACAGAAATCTTTCTTTAATTGTTCAGAAAATACTTCTGACTCTTTCAATACCTGTCAATAATATGAACATAGCCTGAAATTCATACCGGTGAAGTGAAAATATATCTTTTTTAACAGATATTTACATATTTTCCATACATCATCTCACTTTTTTCCATAGCTCTAGATGTTTTCCATCCCTTTGTGAATGGGGAGCTAAACTCTCATCAAATTAGCAGTGAAGCCAGGATAGTTTTGGAGGGGTTGATGTCCAAGGTTGGGGAGCAACTTGGTTAGTTGCCCTAAACACAGGTTACAATAAAAGGTACTTAACGAAAATAAAAAAGAGAAAAGATGCCAGATCCTTCTTCCCAGTTCTATCCTATTGGCCAAAGCCAGTACTTATTATCTCAGTCCCATCCACACCCAACCATGAAAGCCAGTGAAAGAAAATTCAAAACAGAATGAGGCAGGGGAAGGGGAAGATGGAGAGATGGAGAGACAGACACACAGACAGAGACAGATGGATGGATTTCAGTAGATGTTACCTCCATAGCCCTTGGCTGGTAAGAAACATGGAGGCACTTACCGCATCTGTAGCTTGCTCTGCAGCTCCTGCAGAATCTCTGTGGACTGTTTGTGATAGTCTAATGCTGCCTCTATGAACACGGCCAACTGGCTGACTTGTTCTACCTGCAGCAGAAGTGGAAAATTACTCCATGGAGGCCAGAGCCTGTATAACGTCCAGAGAGAGAGGAGACCAGCAACAAAGACCCAGCTTGGCAGGGAAGGCCAGCATCTGCCTCAGCTCTGGTCCATTTCATTTAATTTCATCTAGGAGCTCTGTATAGTAATCACACAGGTCATGGTATGGAGCTATACATACTGGAAAAACATGTTCAAATTATTTGTGATTTTGAATTTGATTTAACTCAATAAAAATGCCTGTTTTTCCAATTAGAAGATGACTTTTCTCAGGAGATTTTCTGTGCTATAAAGTTCATGGATCTGAAAACAGAGATATAAAGTTCTTCCAGTTATAACTGAAGCCAACATTTAGCAAAGGAACTGCCTACTTAGTGAAGTGTCTCTACCTGCACTTTCTAGCTAAGCCAAATCAAGATATTAAGTAAATTAAACAGTTAAGAACAGTAAATTAAACAGATAAGAAAGGGGGCGGGGAGCAACATGGGCTCCTGGGCCAAGACTTTCCGGTTCCCTATATGCTTTTTGTTGCTATCACTCAACATAATTTCTCTGAAACACAGAACTAAAGGGAATGAACTAGAAAGACACTGGCATCTCTGCTTCCCACAAATCAAGAGATTCATGAAATTAGTGACCAATTTACAATGAATTTTTTTAAGCTGTGTCTTAGAAAAACCTGTACTATATGGGGCTGTATAATTTGAGGAAGAGCAAACCAATGAAAGCCTGAGAACTTTCCTGAGCCCCCACATAACCGAGGGGCTGCTACAGGAAAGAGATTAAGCTTATTTCTGGAAGCCCCAGAGGCAAGCCTCAGGGGGCTGAAGTGACAGGTCTCCCCTAGCATGAATCCAATCAACTCTAGAGCTGGACTGAGACACAAAATCAATCCTGCCCTTCCCAGGCTTCCCCAACGCCTATGCGTCATTTCTACACTTCATTTTTACTCAGCTTTAGAGCCAAGTCTGCTTGCTTATTCATTTATACAATCTCACCCTGCCTGACCAACCACGTCAGCCTTCAAAGATCCAAGCTACTTTCATTTGTAGTTGCAAATCATTCCTTAGTTGTCTGTACTTAAATTTTTCTTATCCACTTATACTATTTTAAACACAGCTCAATATGCATGTAAGATATACATGGAATTCCACGTGTGCCAAGCTGTGATCAGCATCTGAACAATGAAATCCTGTCGGGTTTCATTTACTTTACCAAGCTCTGAGGCTGGAAAAGCAACAAGCCTAGCCTTAAATTTCCAAAAACCCAATAAACAAAACAAAGACAGCCTGGCCCCTACCAAATCCTAAGGACTTCTTAAATTTCACCTTTGGCTTTCACACATACTTTTAAGGAAGTTCAGCACCATGGCTTAGCACAATCATAGTAGAATTTGCTATAGAAATCATTTTTCTTCCTTACAGCGCTAGAGTGGTGTGCTTGGCAAAATCTATGTCATGCCTCTCTGCCTTTAGTAAAATTTATTTGTCCTACCTTATAACTCACTTTTTTAAAATGTCTACGTTTTATAATTTTTAAAGAAATAGTGAAAGCTAAATGAGTATTTCTTGAAACATATTCCAGATTGGGGAACAGCAAGGGGCTGAGGGGGATTACAAGCTATCCTCTCTGCTGTGGCTAAAACACAAGCCGATGTAATCTAGAGATGCATTTGTAACTGCTCATTGAGTGGCTGACTTTGGGAAGGAAATGAATCCTCAAAACCCTTAAAGCTTGGTAGACAACGGCAGCACTGCCCAATGCCTGCACCTAATAGGTGTTCAGGACAAGTCCTGAAGGGGTGGCTACTAGGCTGTAAGTCTCTCTTGTTGACAGTGGAGACCAGGCCACAAGTAGATCATTTTCCTACTGATTCCAGAAAATGTAAGCTTCCAGCTGTCCCCCAGGTCCTGAGCATTGAGCTGTGTGGTGGGGACCATGGGGACCAACACAGTTTGACTCAGCCTCCCAAACCACAACTAGAAATAAATACCTAGACAGAAAGAACCAAGATAAAGCAACAAACTTAGGCCTAGCAAGAGCCAAAACCTGACCAGAAGGTAAACATTTCTTCCATTGTTGGAATTTTAACAGTCCATCTGTTAAATCAGAGAACGTCACCTGGGATAGAGAGAAAGGCATAATTCCACTTCTGGGTTGAGACCTGGGCTGCCACTTTGCTGGTGCCATCTTGAGAGCAAAGTGTGACCTCACCCATGAAAATGTCCATATGATATATGCCAAGGAACTGGATTTCCAGAGAATCCACTCCCTTTTCTGAAAGTGAAGCACACTAGCTACTACAGATGGGTTCACACTCAGCTGATGCTTGAAGTGAGAAACTCATCATGCAAGCAGACTTCCATGTAGGTTAGAGGTCAAGGAGGCATAGGCCTTGGTGGATGACAAATGCATGGAGTGAGGGCTGTGAAGCTACCTGGGAGAGTCAGGGAATCATAACCAGAGGGGGCCTGAGGTAGACAGAATCACAGAGCCTGCAAAGATGTCCAAGTCTTAATTCCCCAAACCTGCAAATACATTATTTTACATAGCAAAAGAGACTTTGCAGTTATGATTAAGTATCTTAAAATGAGATTATTTTGGAATATCTGAATGGCTCAACATAATCACAAGGTCCTTTAAGAGGGAGACAGGAGGCCGGGCACAGTGGCTCAAGCCTGTAATCCCAGCACTTTGGGAGGCCGAGGCGGGTGGATCACGAGAGATCGAGACCATCCTGGTCAACATGGTAAAACCCCGTCTCCACTAAAAATACAAAAAATTAGCTAGGCACGGTGGCGCGTGCCTGTAATCCCAGCTACTCAGGAGGCTGAGGCAGGAGAATTGCCTGAACCCAGGAGGCGGAGGTTGCGGTGAGCCGAGATCGCGCCATTGCACTCCAGCCTGGGTAACAAGAGTGAAACTCTGTCTAAAAAAAAAAAAAAAAAAAAAAAAAAGAGGGAGACAGGAGTGCCAACATCAGACAAGATGTGACAATGGAAACAGAGGTCAGAATATGTGAAGATGCTATGCCGCTGACTGTGAAGAGGGAGGAATCAAAGAATGAGCCAAGAAATGCAGGTGGCCTGTAGAAACTGGAAAAGGCAAAAAAGCAGCTTCTTCCTCTGGAGCCTCCAGAATGAACGTGGCCCTGCCCATACCTTCATTTTAGGACTCTAGGCTGGAAGACAATAGATGTGTGTTGCTTTAAGCTACACTGTTTGTGGTCATTTGTTATGGCTCCAATAGGAAACTGATACAGAGCTGCTTTAGCCCATCCTCTAACTATGCAAAAACCTAACAATGAGATTAGTGCTGACCTGGGTCCCCCTTTCATGGTGACAGGAGCTGTTGCCTGGAGACACATAGGAACCAAGCTCATGGGGCAATGGGCCCATGTGGCTGGGCCTGGGGACTTCATTGCTGACTTGGCCGTACCCCAGGGTGCCTCACTCTTTTCTGAGGGGTAACACCAAAACAGGAAATGAACTCAATTTCTCTCCCATGACAGACTGTGCACAATGCACAATCCACAAGTGACACACGTGTGTCACCTGTAGACGCATTTCATTCCAAACCTCTCTTTGGCTGAAAACTAACGGAGGATTAGCAGCATATGAGGCCACTGGGAGTACCTTGATCCTGGGGATGGAAACAGAGAATAGATGCCCCCAGCTATAGTGGACTAAGGATACTAGAAGTTTCTAAGAGTTGTGAAAACCCCATGGACTCTTGCATAAGATATGAGCCATTAGCCCAGCCTTGTGGGCCAACTGCAAAGGACTCAGGCTGTACCCAAAGAAGAATGGCTCAAAGGACTGCATATTGTAACAAAGGCTATCTTAGGTCAACTCTCCAAGAGGACTGTGGAAACTGGGGTAGCTGAGAAGCAGGGCTGGAAACCTTCCTCCTCTGACTCTTTAGCAATTACTTACCAGGGGACTCGGAAGCAGCCGGGTGAGTAAGCAGAGAGTGGCACACCCTGAAGCCCATGGCAAGGACAGGGAGAGAACTGGGATGTGAGCAGCTGACGCCTGTCCAGACCTGGGGTTTGCAAGTGTGTTTCACATGCATGAATAAAGAAAAGTACATCTTCGAAAGATGGCAAGCCATTCTCTTTCACAACTGAAAAGGTGCATTTCCAATAGAGGTCATCTTCGATTGACATTGTGATAATACCAGTGATTTCTTGCTCTGTCATATCAAAGACCTCCACTCTTTTTGGATTCCTCAGAGAAGCTATGGAAAATTTCTCATGAATTTTGCAGTCTGGTCATAAACATATGCCTTTTCCAATGGGGCAAAAGCCTTTATTCAGAGTTTCTGAGAAAGTTTGAGTAAGGCAATTAAATTAATAACATGGAAAATAATCCCTTATATTTTTATTCTCTACTTCATCCTTCTAAAGAATTTCTCAAATGCAGTTGCTAATTTGCCTGATGCCCGTCAGGTGACATGATTTTCCCAGAAGCTTAGCAGAAGCAAAACCAGAAACAGAATTCAGGTATTTCACTCTGTGCTGGGTATGCTTTCCACGAGTTAGTATTTCCAAATGTGTCTTATTCCACATATTACAGCCCCTGAAACATTAGTAATAATATAATAATGTGACGGAATTCTGTGGTCAAATACATTTGGTAAACTGCCAACTGTATTTTCTCTTAGGAACTGCTTAGAGATTAATCTTTCATACTATCAAATAAAGACTCTGAAAAGTCTTGTGATAAAGAAAACTGTTTCATTTTATTTAACCCAGGGTGTCCCAAACTTATTTGACCACAGAGACATTATTAATGCAAAACACACTAACATCCCATGGAATGAATTTTGGAAAATGTTACTCCAGACCAAGGGAAAGACCCCAGGAATCTGGAATCTAGTAATTCCACTGGGAACCCATGGATGGAGGGAAGACCCCATAGCTGGGGAATGTATACCAAGAGAGCCAGTACTGCAGGTACCTGGGCTCACTGGACTGAAATAGGTGT